CTGTAGCTGGTCCCTTTGGTTCCCCCCCCACGCTGACCCCATTCCTCTGCTCCCAGCAAATGGATGATGCCGTGCACACCTTCGAGACGCTGCTGCACCAGGAGCTGGGGAAGCTGCAGGGCAAGGACGACCTGTGCAAGTCCATCCAGCGCATCCTCGAGAGGGTGCTCAAGGTGAGGCCTTTGGTGGCCTGCAGTGGCCTTGTCCCAGGGCCAGGGAAGATGCCAGGAGTGATGGTATCCGCTTCAACAAAAGTCTTCTGGGGAAATACTTCTCTATATTGAGGTTTTCATGGAGAGGGGGAAATCCCCTGGAGGAGCCAGGTCCCTGTCACTGTAAAAGCCACCCAGGGTTCAGATTGGCCCCCAAACCTTCCTTCAGGCAGCCACGGAGGAGTTGGCTTCTCCCCAGGCTCAGGCACCCTGGGAAGCAGCTGGGAAAGAGGGATGTGAGGGCAGAGGAGTCTGTTCACTCCTCTACAAATGGGGGGCGGGGAGGAGGCAAAACTTGGGGGTTTGTCCCTGAGCTCAGGGGGCTGCCAGCCCTCAGCCCTCTGTGCCCTGGGGCACCCTCTCACTCACCCTGCAGAAATTCGACTACGACAGCAGCACGGTGAGGAAGAAGTTCTTCAGGGAGGCCCTGCTGCAGATCACCATCCCCTTCCTGCTGAAGAAGCTGGCACCCACCTGCAAGGGGGTAAGAGGGCAAAGTCTGGGGTGTGGGGAGGGACCACCTCTCCCTGCAGAGGGGCTGGAGTGTCCCTCCCACCCGGGCTGAGCCGCCCGTTCTCCCGGCAGGAACTGGCCAAGTTTCAGGAGCTGATCTTTGAGGACTTTGCCAGCTTCATCCTGGTGGAGAACACCTACGAGGAGGTGGTGCTGCAGTCAGTCATGAAGGACATCATGCAAGGTAGGGTCCCTGGCACCTGTGTGAGGAGGGGTGACCCCGTGCTGGGGGCTGTGTGAGGAGGGGGTGACCCCCTCTGCAGGGTGCTGTACAAGAAGGGGGAGACCCCAAACAGGGTGCTGGAGGTTGGATGAAGAGGGGGTGACCCCCGTGCAGGGTGCTGGGTTCTGTACAAGGGGAGGTGACCTAGTGAAGGGTACTGGGAGCTCTATGAGGAGGGGGTGACCCTGTGCAGGGTGCTGGGGGCTGCACAAGGAGGGATGACCCTGTAGAGGGTGCAGGGGGCTCTGTGAGGAGGGGGTGACCCTATTCAGGGTGCTGGGGGCTGCACAAGAAGGGGTGACCCTGTTCAGGGTGCTGGGGGCTTACAAGAAGGGGTGACCCTGTACAGGGTCTCAGGGGCTGCACAAGGAGGGGTGACCCTGTGCAGGGTCCTGGGGGCTGCACAAGGAGGGGTGACCCTGTAGAGGGTGCTGGGGGCTCTGTGAGGAGAGGGTGACCCTGTTCAGGATGCTGGGGGCTGCACAAGGAAGGGTGACCCTGTTCAGGGTACTGGGGCTGCCCCAGCATCAGCTTTGAGCAGTGGGTGGGACGCTGAACCCCCTTGCCCAGCTCCAGACCCCACTCCCTGTCCCCACGGGGAGGACTGGCAGAGGTGCCCCAGGCTGGCGAGTGCCCGCAGCCCCCCTGACCCCGCTCTGCTCCCCCCCAGCCGTGAAGGAGGCGGCGGTGCAGCGCAAGCACAACCTGTACCGGGACAGCATGGTCCTACACAACAGCGACCCCAACCTGCACCTGCTGGGCGAGGGCATCCCCATCGACTGGGGCGAGGAGTACCCGGGGCAGCCCGAGCCCGAGCCGGCCGGGCAGGGCGACCGGCGCCGCAGGGCCAGGCAGGTGGTGTCGGTGATCCAGGACGACGAGGGGACCCTGCCCTACGAGATGGGCACCGAGCCGCGGGAGCTGCAGGATCCCGGAGTGCCACCCAGCTCCCCGGGTGGGGTGAAGGAGATCCGGGAGGCGCTGGCACAGGAGAGCCCCGGGGACGGTGCCGGGGAGGAGGAGGAGGAGGAGCAGCTGACGAACGGCACCGATGCCACGCGGGAGGGCGGCGCCGGCGAGGAGGGGGTGACAGGGTCTGTGCCGGGGGGTGTCACCCCCCGAGGTCCTGCCAGTGAAGGGGATGAGCTGCACCGCCCCACACCGGCATCGCCTGGAGCCGAGGCCCCGTCCGGGGCTGGGATGAGACGTGTTGCACCAGCGCCGCCTGTGCCCAGAGCTGAGGGCCCAGCAGGGGCTGGGGGGCAACGTGCCACACCAGCATCTCCTGTCCCTGGAGCTGAGATCCCGTCAGGGCCTGGGGAACAACGTCCTGCACCAGCATCTCCTGTGCCCGGAGCTGAGATCCCATCAGGGGCTGGGGAACAACATCCTGCACCAGCATCTCCTGTCCCCGGAGCAAAACGTCCTGCACCAGCATCCCCTGTCTCTGGAGCTGAGATCCCATCAGGGGCTGGGGAACAACGTCCTGCACCAGCATCCCCTGTCTCTGGAGCTGAGATCCCATCAGGGGCTGGGGAACAACGTCCTGCACCAGCATCTCCTGTGCCCGGAGCTGAGATCCCATCAGGGGCTGGGGAAAAACGTCCTGCACCAGCATCTCCTGTCCCTGGAGCTGATGTCCCATCAGGGGCTGTTGTGCCACAGGCCACACCAAGATCATCCTTGCTGGCATCACCTGTGCCCAGAGCCGATGTCCCCTCAGGGGCTGAGGTGCCACACGCCACACCAAGATCATCCGTGCTGGCATCACCTGGAGCCAACGTCCCAGCAGAGCCCAGCCTGCCCCACGCTGCACCAGCATCCCCCAAAGCCGATGTGCCAGCAGAGGTGCCCCACGTCACACCAGCATCGTCCCCTGCCCCCGGAGCCCAGAGTGCCGGGACAGAACGTCACCGGCCCAGCGACCAGGAGACGGGCGAGGATGTGACCCCTCCGGGCCCCCCGCAGCCCACGGGCACCACAGAGAGCGGTGAGGGGATGCAGACTGAGTTCTAGCCCAGCCCCCCCCGCTGTGGACTGGCCCCGGGGACGCTGGGGGTTGGGGAGGGGGAATAGGACCCCTGCCGGGGATGGAGAGCAGCGCCGCGGGAGAGGGAGGGGATGGGAACACCGAGACCTTACTGCCTTGCCGGGGGTCCCCGCTGCCGTGGGGGGCTGGCCACAGCCACCGGGTCGGACTAGGGGTGGCCCCAGCCCGGCACAGGGCACCCCCTGCACTCTGCTCTGTCCTTCTTCTGCCTTATTTCCTTTTCTACTGAAGAGATGCTTTACTGAAGAGATGCTTTATCTGCCCCCCAGCACAAGTGCCTGGGGCTGCTGGGGGGGGCTGGCACTCGCCCCACTTGGGGTGGGGGTGTGGGATACTCCTGGCTGCCCCGGGGTCATCCCCTGCCCCAATCCCAGGGGTTTCCCGGGAGCTTGCTCACCACCACCCCACCCGGCCGGCTCCGGGAGTGCCAGTGGGAGTGGGGGCTGCAGGGGATCGTGGAAAACGCGAGGACAAGCAGGGGCACGGCAGGGATACAGCCATGCTGGGGAGTGCTGCTGAGGGGGTGAGAGCTGGGGCAAGCACGGGCTCGTGGTACCCAAGCTGGGCTCACAGCATCCAGGCCAGGCTTATGGCACCCAGGCTGGGCTTGTGGTACCCGGGCTGGGTTCATGTTGTCCAGGCTGGGCTCACAGCACCCAAGCTGGGCTCACACACCCAGAGTGGGCTTGTGGTACCCAGGCTAGGCTCATGCACACAGGCTTGGCTCATGGCACCCAAGCTGGGCTCACAGGTCACCCTCACCCCGGGGTCTTCTAGCAGCTATTTAAGTTCAGAGTGACATCTCTGGGGGAAGGTGGCACTCGCGCCGTGTCCCCAGCCGTGCCTGGCAGGACTGGGCTGTCTCCAGGCTCAGCTTGCTGTGCAGTGGAGGGATCCCAGCCCTTGCCCTCTGGAGCTGCCCATTTCCGTGCTCGGATCGTTTCTCCAGCTCTCAGGCTTGGCGGGTTTTGGCACCTGCAGTGAGGGTCGAGCAAAGAGTTGTGGTTTGCTGACCCCCCCCAGCAGCCCTGCCCACTGTGGGGAGGGGGATGGGACGGCTGCAGCCCCCCCACAGGGATGCCAAAAGCCCTGGGGCTGGGGGGGGTCTGCAGGACTCGGGGAGGGGGGTGAGACACGTGCACGTGTGTGCACCGAGCAGGGCCCAGCACCCGACACTCACCTGTGCTTCAGGTGCCAGTTCCTGCCCCATGGGGGGGTGCCCAGCCTAACCCACTCGGGGAGGCCCCCCAAAAAAGTGCCTTGCTTTGGGAAACTTAAAATCTGTCTCTTCCAGGATATTTTATTAAGAAAGATATACAAATGTTTAAAGATATGCTTATAATAATTAATAAAACGGGAAAGCTTTATTTAAAGCCAGAGGAGGCTGTCCTTATTCCTGAACCTCCCTCCTGGGGAGTAGGGCTGGGGACCCCAATTCCTACTGTGACCAGGGGGTGTCACATCCTGAGAGCACCCAGCAGTGACACGAAGCAGGAGCAGAGTGACTGAGATGATTTTATTAAAAGGGGTGTCCTGAGGAAGCAGCAAGAGGCACCTGGAGCAGCACTGTCCCCCTGGCTTGGGGGCTGCTCCGACCCCATCCCTGAAGCACTGGCAGGAGGGGGGTGGGTGAGGGGCAGCAGGACCCCCCCAGCATCCCCAGAAGGCACTGTGTGAAGAGGGGCTTGGTGCAGGGCAGCTCTGGGGCAGGAGGACAGGGGGCCCTGTCCCCAGCGTGTCCCCTTCCTCAGCAAGTCACCGGACCATTCCCGTTCCAGCCAGGATGAACCTCCTCGAAAAGTGGGGAGGGGAAGGAAATGCCCAGCACCCCCTCGCTGTCACCTCCCGGCCAGAGGTCCCTGAGAGCCAGGGGACAGCCACCAGCGTGGCAGTGCTGGCCGTGGGGCTCCCTGTCCCCAGCACTGCCCCCTCACAGCGGGGCCAGCACCGAGAGCCCCACAGCAAGTCCCTGGGGCTCTGCGTCCCACCCGGCACAGGGGACAGGGACAGAGCCAGCAGAAGTGACAGCAGCTATTCCAGACAGAGCAGCAGGAGGTGGGGGCCCGTGTCCCACCGCCCCAGGGGGGTCTAACCCCGGCCGAGCAGGGGGTACACCACAAAATAGCCCAGCGTGGAGCCCACGATGGCCCCCAGGAAGATCCAGGCGTTGTAGGACATCACAGCCAGCATTACCAGGTAGCCCAGCACCACCTGCAGCACGTGGAACAGCGTCTGCCCGACGTGGTACCGGAACCACCTGTGGGACAAGATGGGAAACCCCATCACTGAGGGGCTGGGACAGCCCACGTCCCCCTCCTGGCCAGGATCCCGGAGCAGCCAGGCTTGGGGAGCAGGGAGAGGGATGGGGGCTGCAAACAGCACCACAGGGGGAAATCCTGTCCCAAAGGGGATTTTATTACGAAAAATAGGATGTTATAGGGGAGGACACTATTAAGAGGTTGGCAGTTAAGAGCAGCCTCAGGGATTAAACATGAGAGGAAAAACCCAGGGCTCCAAAGGAAGGAATCGCTGGGAATCTGCTGCTTGTGCCCATCCCTGAACCATGAAGACCCTCCTGCACCCGCAATGGCTCTTGGGGGAAAAAATGAGCTTTTAGACGGTCTCCCAGAGTGCCAGAAGGGACTGGGATGCCCCTGGAGCCACTTCCCCAGGCTGTACAAACAGCCCTTTCCTGGGGGAAAGCAGTTCCCTGGAACTCCTCAGCTGCCTCCTTAGAGCCCTTCTCCCCTCCTGCACTGGCCAAGGGGGGACAGACCCCTCCCTGAGCCCCCCACTGCCCACCAGAGGGTGCAAAGGGGGGTCTCTGAGGTACCTGCCCTGCGCAGGGTCGGTGTCCCCCTCCTGTGGCTCCGTCAGGGCCTCCTGGCTGAGGCTGCGGGGCAGTGCCAGCAGCGCCCGCCGCAGCAGCACGGCCTTGCCCATCTTCAGGGCCTCGTAGAGCACAGACAGCAGCAGGATCACCAGCACAGACAGCACCATCCCTGCAGCACAGGGCTCGTGTTGGCCAGGCTGGGCTCAAGGAACCCAGGCTGGGCTCACACACCCAGGCTGGGCTCACAACACTCAGGCTGGGCTCACACACTCAGGCTGGGCTCACACATCCAGGCTGGGCTCAAGGAACCCAGGCTGGGCTCACACACTCAGGCTGGGCTCACACATCCAGGCTGGGCTCACACACCCAGGCTGGGCTCACACATCCAGACTGGGCTCACACATCCAGGCTGGGCTCACACACTCAGGCTGGGCTCACACATCCAGGCTGGGCTCACAACATCCAGGCTGGGCTCACACACTCAGGCTGGGCTCACACACTCAGGCTGGGCTCACAACATCCAGGCTGGGCTCAAGGAACCCAGGCTGGGCTCACACACCCAGGCTGGGCTCACACACCCAGGCTGGGCTCACACATCCAGGCTGGGCTCATGGTACCCAGGCTGGGCTCGTGGAACTCAGGCTGGGTTTGTGGCACTGCAGGAGAGACACCCCAACACTGCCCATCACCAGGGAGGGGCTGTTGGGGCTGGGGGGGTGTCCCAACATGCTTGGGATCCATGGGATCCTTCCTTATCCACGGGATAAGGGGGAGCTGGGCAGCAGGTTTGAGAAGTGGTAGAAGATTTATTTAGCCCAATCCTCCCCCCTGAAATTCCTAGGGAGGATTTTTTGGAGGGGGTTGCTCTGAAAAAAATATACAACTTTGCCTCGACTCCACAAAAACGTGGGAGTTACAACACGATGCTGGGAGAATAATTTAATGAGGGAAAAAAAACAGCATAAAAGGAACTGGGAAGCTGAGACATCACTGAGTGACCTGGGAGGGTTGGCAGGCTGAGATGGGGTGCTTCCCACACTTCCCTGTTTCCTGCTCTTGGCATGGGAAGGTGCCCTCCAAGCCCCGGGAGGGATGGATGGATGGATGGATGGATGGATGGATGGGTGTCCCAGGGCCTACCTGTGGGGCTGTGGACATTCCAGAAGTCAAAGAGCAGCACTGCCGTGTCCGAGAAATAGAAGGTCATCTGGAAAAGAGACCAAGGAAAGGGCAGCACGAGGAACCCCTCGGGATCCACTCACCCACCAGCCCAGAGGGCTGAGCTGATGCTCATCTGGGGCTTTACCACATGGTGCAATCTTTTTTCCCCAGTTCCTGAAACAGGAAGAGGAACTTGCACTGACAATCCCAGTCACGCTGACTGGATTAAACTCTTCCCTTGACCTCCAGCAGGACAGGTCTCACCTCCAGCAGCAGCTCCTGTGCGTGTCTGGGCTGTGAGAAAAAGCCAGTTTAGCCCTGTGGCAAAGAGAGACCAGTTCAGGACTCCACCAGCCCAGAGTTGAGAAGGGAAGGTCTGTGGGGACAGGTAGAGGCTGGTGGACACCACCCACAGCCTGATGAGAAACCTCCCAGGACAGAGAAAGCTCTTGCATTGCTGGGACACCCAAAATCTCAATCCCCAGGGCACCCAGAGCCATTGTGACCAGCCAATAATGTGTCTCCCTGGCAGAGGAGCATTGTCTGTCTGTCCAAACTGGGGCTGCCAGGACCTACAAAGGCACCATCCCCCTCCTTCATCAGGCTGAAACAGGAGGAACAAGAACTGCTCTTGTGTAACAAACCCAGCTGCAGAGCTCACACCCAGCTGCCAAGTAATTGAATCACAGAATCAACAGGGTTGGAAAAGACCTCCGAGATCATCGAGTCCAACCCTTGACCAAACCCCACCCTGTCACCCAGACCATGGCACTGATGCCACATCCAGGCTCTGCTCAAACCCCTCCAGGGACGGGGACTCCACCCCCTCCCTGGGCAGCCCATTCCAAGGGCTGATCCCTCTCTCTGCAAACAACTTCTGCCCAATGGCCAACCTAAACCTGCCCTGGGGCAGCTCAAGGCTGTGCCCTCTTGTCCCACTGCTGGTTCCTGGCAGCAGAGCCCGACCCCCCCCGGCTCCCCCCTCCTGTCAGGGAGTTGCAGAGAGTGAGAAGGTCTCCCCTGAGCCTCCTCCTGTCCAGGCTGAGCCCCCCCAGCTCCCTCAGCCTCTCCTCACAGCACTTGTGCTCCAGACCCTTCCCCAGCCTCGCTGCCCTTCTCTGGACCTGCTCCAGCCCCTCCATGTCCTTCCTGAGCTGAGGGGCCACAACTGGGCACAGCACTCCAGGGGTGGCCTCCCCAGTGCCCAGCACAGGGGTAGAATCCCCTCCCTGCTCCTGCTGCCACACTGTTCCTGAGCCAGGCCAGGATCCACTGGCCTTCTGGGCCACCTGGGCACACTCTGGCTCACGTTCAGCTTCCTGTCAATAGGTAAAAGTCTTGCTCATTTCACCACAAAAAGTGGAATTTTGTTGGGATTTTTATCCTGCCGTTGGTGAATCTCTCTAGGAAGTGTTCCTGGAGCTCCTCTGCCACACTGATACGGCTCTGGCAGAGTGTCCCCACCGTTACTGACACCAGCAGATGTGACTGACTGGCCTGGCCTGAGCCAGAAATACCCTCCAATAACTGAGAGTCATTAGAGACCAGCTCTAATTACACCCTTCGGCCTCTCTCTACCCAGAGCACATTAGCACATGTAATTGGCTCACCCTTTTAAGCTTCCTTTTGGCCATGGATTAATGGTAATTAGCCTTTAAATGAAGCTATTTCTCCTTTACAGGTTTCACCCACAGCTCTGCAGAGTGGTGAAAGGAGGAGGTGACTGTTTTAGGGGCAAGGGAACAGAATCATAGAGTCATTAAGGTTGGAAAAGCCCTCCAAAATCATCGAGTCCAAACACCACTAAACCACATCCTCAAGTGCCATATCCATGTATTTTGAACATTTCCAGGGACGGTGATTCCACCACTTCCCTGGGCAGCCTGTTCCAAAGATCCAGGAGATCCCCTTCGCTGTGCCAGGTCTCCCAGCCTGGGCTGAGGCCACGTGCCTTTAGGTGCCCAGCATGGGCCAACAGCCCCTCAGCCCAGTGGGATTTCTCCGGAGATGGCACATGGCTGGGGGAGGTGTGGTGGGCAAAGGTCCGGGGGGCAAGTCCTAAAAATCCCTGCCCTGTTTCCAACAGGGAAGAGTCCTCACTGCCAGGGCGATGGGACAGGCCCAGGGATGCCGGATGGAGGGATGAGCTCCTGCCCTCACCCACCTGCCCACGCAGCAGGCACTGAGCAGTTGCCCGGGTGAGGCTGCACCCGGTCACTCCTCCGCACCTCGCAGGAATTTCACAAGGAAACACAGCTGCTGGAAAACACCCCGTGCTGCCTCTGCTCCTGTGCATTTAGTGGCTGAATCCACTGCAGTTTTGGGGTTATCCTGAGAGAAACCAGCGGTGCCTGCACGGAGCAGGGTCAGGCATCCCGACCTGCTGCTCCGGTCCGACCGGGACACCTGGTCCTGCCCATCGGGACAAACCTGCCTCCCTGCAGCACCCGACCCCCGCTGAGCAGCACATCATCCCAGCCAGGAATGCTGCAGCACCCTGCCGGGGTCTGGGGAGGGGTCCCCAAACTGGGATTCCCCTGGGGGATGGTGTCAGCCACCCTCTGGGCCTCGCAGGGATGATGCTGCCAGGAAATCGGGGGGATCTGGGAGCCTTAAACACCAAATAGAATCACTAAATAGTTTGGGTTGGAAGGGACTTTAAAGCTCATCCTCATCCAGGATTTCAAGGCCACGGGCAGGGACACCTTCCACTAGCCCAGGTTGCTCCAAGCCCCGTCCAGCCTGGCCTTGGACACTTCCAGGGATGGGGCACCTAAAATCCACATCCGAGCTGGGAGCACAAAGCAAAACTGCTGCAGGGGGAGGCAGCTCAGGGCCTGAGCTGTGCCTTGAGCTCCTGCTGCAAGAGCCTGGTGGTGCTCCCAGCACAGCCCTTCCCTGCGGTGGGAGAGCAGGACACGGGAGAGAGGGACACGGGAGAGAGGGACACGGGGGAGAGGGACACGGGGGAGAGGGACACGGGGGAGAGGGACACGGGGAGAGGGAGGGACACGGGGGAGGACACGGGGGAGGGGACACGGGAGGGAGAGAGAGGGACACGGGAGAGAGGGACACGGGGGAGAGGGACACGGGAGAGAGGGACACGGGGGAGAGGGACACGGGGGAGAGGGACACGGGGGAGAGGGACACGGGAGAGAGGGACACGGGGGAGAGGGACACACGAGAGAGAGACACGGGGGAGTGGGACACGGGGGAGTGGGACGCGGGAGAGAGGGGCACGGGAGAGAGGGACACGGGGGAGAGGGACACGGGGGAGAGGGACACGGGGGAGAGGGACACGGGGGAGCCTTCGGGTGAGAATGTGCTGGCATAGGGGTGCGAGGAGCAGACAGACAGACGGACTGACAGACTGACCGACATCCCCCCCCGTGCGCAGGCTGGTGCAGGGGCCGAGAGGGGACCGGGGCTCGGGGGAAACCGAGGCAGGCGGCGGTACCCGGAGGGGGGGACACACCGGCGATACCTCAGCCCGCAGGAAGGTTCCAGCGGGATTTAAGGCGCCCGCAGGGGGATTCGCGAGGTCTCCGGGGGGATTTACAGGGGGATTTACAGGGGGATTCACGGCACCATCCGCGCCCGGGGCGCGCACCCGCGGGCTCCCCTTGTCCCCCTCCCCGGGCTCACCTGCATGGCGGCGGTCGGGCCCCGGCCGTGCCAGCCGGGGCAGTCTCGGGGCTGTGTCGGGGCTGTGTCGGGGCAGTCTCGGGGCTGTGTCGGGGCAGTCTCGGGGCTGTCGCTGTCGCTGTCGCGGAGGGTGACGCGCGCGCGGGGTTCCCCGGGAGCTGTAGTGCCGCGGGAGCGCGCGTGGGGCGGGGCCGGGCCGGTCCCTCCCGCATCCCGGCGGGGCTCGGCATCCCCTGGGAAAGCGGGTCCTCGCCCCTCCGCCGTCCCCTCTCGCTTCCCCTTTCCTGCTGGCTCCGTTCCCAGCTCCCGATCCCAGCGCCCACGGGTTTTTCTGCTGGTTCCCCTTCCCCTCCTCCTTCCCCCTCCCGTCCTGCTGCCGCCCCGGGTTTGGACGGAAGGGATTTTAGGGCGGTTCACTCTCCCGGAGAGGAGAATTTTCCAGGGAAATCTCAAAGTTTCTAGTGCCTAAAGAGGCTCCAGGAGAGCCGGAGAGGGACCTGGGACAAGGGCGTGGAGGGACAGGACAAGGGGGAATGGCTTCCCACTGCCAGAGGGCAGGGAGAGATGGGATGTTGGGAAGGAATTCTGCCCTGAGAGGGTGGGGAGGCCCTGGCACAGGTTGCCCAGAAAAGCTGTGTCTGCCCATCCTCGGGAGTGTCCAAGGCCAGGTTGGACGGGGCTTGGAGCAACCTGGGCTAGTGGGAGGTGTCCCTGCCCAAGGCAGGGGGTGGGATGAGAGGGTCTTTAAAGTCCTTTCCAGCCCAAACCACTCTGGGTTTCTATGGCAGGAAAGACCAAAGGGAAGACCAAACTTTCCCTCCAGCTGTGGTTTTCTGGAGGGAACAGGGAGTGCTGAGCTGCCCCTGCCTCAGTTTCCCCAAGTGCCAGCAGGTGCTGATGCCCACAAAGGTACCCAGTGCCTGCCAGGGGATTTGTGTATCTATCCCAGTTTGGGAAGGAAATAGGAGCTTACAGGCAAAACACTGCTTTGGGTAGTGAGTGAATTTTTCCTTACAGGTGGAACCAGAGTTATTCAAGGTGTGTTTGCTGCTCAAAGTGAGAAAAAACACTGGATAAACCTACAAACATGCTACTTCTCTTTTAAATATTTCAAAAGTTTCCATGGAAAATAAACACATTCTTTGGCAGCCACAGCTCCTGTGGGTTTTGGCCTGCATGGCTGGTGAGATGGGGAGTGTGCATGTGCAAAAACACAGGGGAAAATGCTGCAAAAATGAGCAATTTGTGCAAAAAATATAATAATTAAAAAAAAAGTTGTGTTTTTTGGCGTGTTCTGCTGGTTGCCATTCTCTGCCCAGGATCTAACGTGTCCCTGGAGTTGGAATTGAATTTTCCTTTTGCAGTCTCCTGCACAAGGTCTGTCTGCAGCAACCAGAGAAGTGCCAGCCCCTTGGCACTGCCTGACCTCTGCCCACACCACAGGCAGTGCCCACCCCCCGGGCACAACCAGCTCCTCTTCCCCTTCCAGCTCCCTGTGGAAAGGGAGTCTCTCCATGGCAGGGAGAGGGGGTTTGGCTGCACCTCTGACTCTGTGTGCCCATGGCTGGCTGCGGGTGAAGGGGCAGTGCCAGGGGGTTCTTTCAGGGGTGGGAGCAGCTCCAGGGGGGAGAAAAGCCCCACGGGCAGGGCCAGAGGGGCTTTACAGGGCAGTGCCCCACACGACACCCAGCATGTTAGAAATCCACCCAGGGAGCAGAAATTCAATGCCAGAGTGGAAAATCCCTTTTCAAAGTGCTCAGACCCCTGGAAGTGGCCACCCCGTGTCCCCCTGGGCCAGCAAGGTGGTGACAGAGCAGGGAGTGCTCCTGCACCCCAAAAAAGATGCTACACCAGGGATGGAGGTAGTAAAGAGCAGCACAGCCACACACACGAGTGGGCATTGCTTAAATCACTCCCGAGGGACTGTGCCCCCCTAAAAGCTCCCTTTGCTGCTCTCCTTGAGCCCCAGTGCAGAGTCTGGCCTGGCTGCCACACTGCTCTGCTGGCACTGGCAGCAATGCCCAAGCTCACCTGGGCACAGGTGAGTCAGGGCATCGGAGCCTGGGCACTGATGGGTGCCGAGAAAACCAGGGGTGCAGCACAAAGCCAGCTGAGGGCTGGGGGGTCTGGGGGCTGTGTCCACAGAAATAGGGGTGCTGGGAATCCAACCACGGCTCAGGTGCCACTTGCAGAACCCTCTGCCCTCAGGGCTTGGCCTGGGCCACACAGCCCGGTGAGAGTGGGGTTGTTAGAGGGAAATGGTGCTGGGAATAACAAAAACGAGGTGATAAGGAGAGATGCTGCAGCACTGGGGGCAAAGGGCTGCAATTCCTGCTCCAGAGACACTACTGGGCAGCTCAGTGTTGCTCAACATCACTAAAACCCCTCTCTGGCCCTCCCTGGGAGTTCCAGACCCAAAACAGAGGCAAGATTTGGGGGGATGTGCATTTTTCACCCCTTTGCAGCCCCTGCTGTCTGGCTGGGCTGGAGCTGCTGGAGCAGCCACTGGCAGCACCACATGGACCTGGCTGGGCTCTCCCAGGTTGACTGGGCTTCTCAGGCAGGTCCTGGGGAAATGAGGCTCCAACTGTTTGTGCATTTGACCCTGGCAAAGAAAATTCCCTTTCCTGCCCCTCCTCCCAAGCTGGCTGTAGGTCTGCTCCTTGTCTTTCTTTTTTCTTTAGCAGACAGTTCCCAGTGCTTATAATTACATAAACCTCCCCCAAGCAGTCATTAAATCAGCACCTTCTCATATATAATATATACATATATAATATATATATATATATATAATTTATAGAGAAACGACTTCTGTAAACAGTATTCTTCTACTCCAGAAGGAAGTGTAGTCTGTGGCATAATGCAGCTACAAACATGGATCTCGGAGAGAACCTGCAGCTCCGGGGAGGGGGTGGGAGCCCCGTGCCACCCTCAGCCCCCACAGGATGGCTCTTGGGCGGGGAGGGAACCGGCTGGCTCGGTTTGGGTGGCACCAGTTTCAGCTGAAGCAAACTGGTCCGACTGTGAAACCAAACTGGTGCGAGGCGTCGCCGTTGTGAAACACCGCCAGGTCCCGCAGGGGCAGCAGCGACAGCTCCTCCGTGCTGAACTGGAAGATGGTGTCGGTGATGGAGGACTCGTTGTCCAGCTGAAAGGAGCACAAAGGGGCACCTGAGAGGCACAAAAATCCGCAAGGATCCCCTCAGAGCGCCTGCTGTCCCCTTGCTGGCTCCCGGTGGATGCAAAGTCTCCATCCTCAGCCCTTCCTGGCTTTTCCAGGGAGTGACCTCCCCCGCGCCCACCTCACCCCCTGCCACATCCCAGCCCGCTCCCCAAAGCCACGGCAGCTCCTTGGCCGCAGGGATGCTCTCCGTGCCCATCCCACCGGGTGAAGCCTCACCCACCAGCTCCATCCCAAACGTCGGGGGTGCAAACACACGCCGAGGGGCTCTGCGAATGTCGGGGGGCTCTCTTGCGGGCACAGCCGAGGTGTGCCAGGGCCGGGCTTACCAGGCAGCCCTGCAGGCTGGCCGCATAGCTCTGCTCCCGGGAGTCGGCCAGGAAGCGGATTTCCTTGGCGGGCTGGGGGTGGCCCCGCTCGGGGGCCGGTCTGCAGGAGTAGGACACCTTCTGGGTGGCCAGGCTGCTGTGCAGCCGCAGGAAACGGAGCTGCACCGGGCTGGCCCCCCTGTATTCCAGCTGCAGGGACAACGGGAGAGAAAAACGGGAAGCGGGGGAAGCTTGGAGCGGGCTGTGCTCCTCCCCGTCCCAAACCGGGCAGGATTCAGTGCCGAGGCACTGCTTTGGAGTTCCTTGCAGGAGGAGCTGTCACATCCCGCCGTGCACAGCCAGGGTGACCTGGGTGCTGCCCAGCACAGCGGGATGGGCATCAGGAGACCCCTGACCCCATGAGAGGGGCTCCATGTCCCCCCGGGCTGTTCCAGCTGGGCACTCACCAGGAAGCCCCCGGGCAGGGTGCTGAACCACTCAAAGGTGTCCTCGGAGGTGTAGGTGCTCAGCCAAGCCTTGATGGGGACCTGTGGGAAGCAGGGACCGTGCCATGCTGTCCCAGCAGGTGCCAGTGGCACTGCCAGGACAAGGAGCCAGCATACAACCCTGTCCCTGCAGCCTGGGCACATGCCGTGACCAGGATCCTCCCTCCAAACTTTTCCACCATGGCAGGGGTCACCATGGCAAGGGACTGGGCACACAGTCTCTCTCCAGCCCCACCAACCCTCACCCTCACCCACCCCAAGGGGTCACAGGGGGCTGAAGCTGCCCCCCCAAAGCCCCCATACCTGGTTGTGGACGGGGGCTATGCAGGTCTCCCCCCCTGCTGTGAAGTTGCAGAAGGCCACCAGTGCGTCCTGGGGGCTGCCCTGGTTGGGGTCAATGTAGTACTGCCCTGCAGGGAGGCAGAGGGGAGCTCCTGGCACCCGGGTTTTGGCACAGGGAGGGTGCCACACAATGCCACCCACCCCAGCTGGTGGCACATCCCTGGCTGCCACCTCCATCCAGCCTGGCCGCCAGCCCCTTTCTCCAGGGATGCCCATGAAACTCAACTGGCCTCATCCCCCAAATCCTTGTTCCCTCTTAATTGCAAAGAGCTGCCTGTCCCTGCACAGGCTCTGGAGAGCTGGACCGACCCAGAGCCCATGGTGGGCACCCCACATGCCCCCTGGTACCATCGGGCAGGCTGGGGTGTGCCAGCAGCAGCTCCTTGCAGGTGGTTGCTGGGTTGGTTTTGGTGCCATTGGGATGCTCAACAAGGGCTTGGAGCTCCTGGTTCAGGGTGTCCAGCAGAGCCCAGACTGCAGTGTAGTTCAGGTGGTTGGAGGAATAAATGAGGTGCTAAGAGAAAAAGGGGGGGGATATATCCAAGGTGATCTTAGCCCCCCTCTCTTATTTTGGCCAGGAGCATCCTCAGGGGCTGAGGGAAGGGATGGGACATGCAGGGGACAAGGACAGGCGTGGTGGGAGAGGGATTAACAACATCTGCTTGGTCCTTGTGCACAGGGGACCTCAGAAGCGGCAGGACATGGGACAGATGCCCTGTCAGCCCCTTCCCTCCCTGGGT